GTCTTTGACACAGTACCCGATAAAAGGCTGATACATAAGCTGGAGAAACAGGCATGAGTAACTGGTAGGGCGCTCCAGTGGATAAAGGAGTACCTAAGCAACAGGAAGCAGAGAGTTACAGTGAGGGATGAGACCTCAGATTGGCATGAAGTCACCAGTGGAGTCCCACAGGATTCTGTACTCGGACCTGTCCTGTTTCTGATATACGTTAATGATCTCCCAGAGGGTATAGACTCATTCCTCTCAATGTTTGCGGACGACGCCAAAATTATGAGTAGGATTAAGACAGAGGAGGACAACTTGAGGCTTCAAGAAGACCTGGAAAAGCTGCAGGAATGGTCGAACAAATGGTTGTTAGAGCTTAACCCTAACAAAGTATTTCATCTCCCCTAAGGGAGATGAAATACTTCAAGAGACAGATAGAGAGAAAGACCTGGTGGGGGGGGGGTTGATATCACGCCAGACCTGTCCCCTGAAGCTCATATTAAGAGGATAGCATCAGCGGCATATGCCAGGTTGGCTAACATAAGAACGGCCATTAGAAACTTGTGTAAGGAATCTTTCAGAACATCATATTTCACATATGTCAGACCAATCCTGGAGTATGTGGCTCCAGCATAGAGTCCATATCTAATCAAGCATAAGACTAAACTGGAAAAGGTTCAAAGGTTTGCCACCAGACTAGTACCCGAACTGAGGGGTATGAGCTACGAGGAGAGACTACGGGAATTAAACCTCAAGTCACTGGGAGACAGAAGAGTTAGAGGGGACATTATCACCATAAAAAGATTCTCAGAGGAATTGATAGGGTAGATAAACACAGTAAACAAAATACAAGAGGACACAAGTGAAAACTGAGTCACCAGATGAGCCACAGTGACGTTAGAAAAAATTATTTTAGTGTCAGAGTAGTTAACAGGTGGAATGCATTAGGTAGTGATGGTGGAGACTGACATCATACACAGTTTCAAATGTAGATATGACACAGCCTAGTAGACTCAGGAATCTGTACACCAGTTGATTGGCAGTTGAGAGGCAGGAGAAAACCTGGAGCCAACCCCCCCCCCCCGCATGCACAACTAGGTGAGTACAAATAGGTACACAGACATACACAGATTTACACACAAGCAAACACACAAACTCGCGCAAGAAACAAGTGAAAGATTTTATGTATTAAGATGCACAAAAAAGTATCAGGGTACAGACAAATAAACAAACGCAAGTTTGTCCTTGTATGAGAAGCACACTCAAAATGGAAGAGGCAGTGAAGGCAAGCCTAATAGCCAGTGAAGTTTATATATATATATATATATATTATATATATATATATATATATATATATATATATATATATATATATATATATATATATATATATATATATATGTATATAATGGGCACCACCTCTGGTGCAATTGTGGGGAATAGCCTCGGAAAAGGGAATAAAGCCTCGGAAAAGGGAATAAAGCCTCGGAAAAGGGAATAAAGCCTCGGAAAAGGGAATAAAGAGCTTTCAAAGAAAAATACCGTTTTTCTCTCAACATATGTTTACGTATATGTATAAACAGCTTTCAGCGAGCTATTAATAAACGCAGTACAGGAGAGCTGGGACACACTACAGGAAGACTGGGACACACTACAGGAGAGCTGGGACACACTACAGTAGAGCTGGGACACACTACAGGAGGGCTGGGACACACTCTAGGAGAGCTAGAACACACTATAAGAGGGCTGGGACACACTACAGGAGAGCTGGGACACACTACAGTAGAGCTGGGACACACTACAGGAGGGCTGGGACACACTCTAGGAGAGCTAAAACGCACTATAAGAGGGATGGGACACACTACAGGAGAGCTGAGACACACTACAGGAGAGCTGGGACACACCATAGAAGATCAGGGACACACATCAGGAGGGCTAGGACACATTACAAAGGGCTGGGACACACTACAGGAGAGCTGGGATACACTACAAACGGCTGGGACACACCCTAAGAGAGCAGGGACACACTACAGGATGGCCGGGACCCACTCTAAGATAGCTAGGACACACTACAGGACACCTGGGACACACTCCAGGAGAGCTGGGACACTACAGGACACCTGGGACACACTTCAGGAGAGCTGGGACACACTACAAAGGGCAAGGACACACTACAAGAGGGCTCGGACACTTCAAGAGAGCTGGGACACACTACAGTAGAGCTGGGACACACTACACGAGAGCTGGGACGCACTACACGAGAGCTGGGACGCACTACACGAGAGCTGGGACGCACTACACCAGAGCTGGGACGCACTACACGAGTTCTGGGACGCACTACACGAGAGCTGGGACACACTACACGAGAGCTGGGACGCACTACACGAGAGCTGGGACGCACTACACGAGAGCTGGGACACACTACACGAGAGCTGGGACGCACTACACGAGAGCTGGGACGCACTACACGAGAGCTGGGACGCACTACACGAAAGCTGGGACGCACTACACGAGAGCTGGGACACACTACACGAGAGCTGGGACGCACTACACGAGAGCTGGGACGCACTACACGAGAGCTGGGACGCTATAGTAGGGCTGGGACACACTACAGGAGGGCTGGGACACACTACAGGTGGGCTGGGACACACTACAAGAGGGCTGGGACACACTACAAAGGTGCTGGGACGCACTACAGGTGGGCTGGGACACACTATAAAGGGCTGGTACACACTTCAGGAGGGCTGGGACACATTACAGGAGAGCTGGGACACACTACAGGAGGGCTGGGACACACTATAAAGGACTGGGACCCACTATAAAGGGCTGGGACACACTATAAAGGGCTGGGACACACTACAGGAGAGCTGGGACACACTACAGGAGAGCTGGGACACACTACAGGAGAGCTGGGACACACTACAGGAGAGCTGGGACACACTACAGGAGAGCTGGGACACACTACAGGAAGGCTGGGACACACTACAGGAGAGCTGGGACACACTACAGGAGGGCTGGGACACACTACAGGAGAGCTGGGACACACTACAGGAAGGTTGGGACACACTACAGGAAGGCTAGGACACAGTACAAGAGGGCTGGGACACACTACAGGAGAGTTGGGACATACTGCAGGAGAGCTGGGACTCACTATAAAGGGCTGGGATACACTACAGGAGAGCTGGGACACACTACAAAGGGATGGGACACACTACAGGAGGGCTGGGACACACTACAAAGGGATGGGACACACTACACAAGGGCTGGTACACATTATACGAGAGCTGGGACACACTACAGGAGGGCTGGAGCACACTACAAGAGAGCTGGGACACACTACATGAGAGTTGGGACACACTACAGGAGAGCTGGGATACATTACAAGGTGCTGGGACACACCACAGGAGGGCTGGGACACTCTACAGGAGTGTTGGGAGACACTGCAGGAGAGTTGGGACACACTACAGAAGGGTTGGGACACTACAGAAGGGATGGGACACACTACAGGAGAGCTGGGACACACTACAGGAGAGTTGGGACTCACTACAGGAGGGCTGGGACACACTATAAAGGACTGGGACACACTAGAGGAAGGCTGGGACACATTACAGGAGGGCTGGGACACACTACAAAGGGTTGGGACACACTACAGAATGGCTGGGACGCACTGCAGGAGGGCTGGGACACACTATAAAGGACTGGGATACACTAGAAGAAGGCTGGGACACATTACAAGAGGGCTGAGACACACTACAAAGGGTTGGGACAAACTATAAAGGACTGGGACACACTAGAAGAAGGCTGGGACACATTACAGGAGGGCTGGGACGCACTACTGGAGGGCTGGGACTCACTACATGAGGGCTGGGCCACACAACAAAGGGCTGGGACACACTACAGGAGGGCTGGGACACACAACAAAGGGTTGGGCTACACTACAGGAGGGTTGGGACACACTACAGGAGGGCTGGGACACACTACAGGAGGGCTGGGACACACTACAGGAGGGCTGGGACACACTACAGGAGGGCTGGGACACACAACAAAGGGCTGGGACACACTACAGGAGGGCTGGGACACACAACAAAGGGCTGAGACACACAACAGGAGGGTTGGGACTCACTACAGGAGGGCTGGGACACACTACAGGAGGATTGGGACTCACTACAGGAGGGCTGGGACACACTACAGGAGGGCTGGGACACAATACAGGACTGGGGTCACTCTAGAGGCACAGAGTTACCATAACGATCAATAGCGTGTCTTATGAATGGTCAACAGCCAGGGCGGTATAGCGTGCTGGGACCCGATCTCGTTCGCCTAGGAAGCTGGTCAATAATACTGGATTTTACACCGGCACTCAGGTGAGGGGTGAGTATGAAGGGTGAGGATGAGGGGTGTGTGTGGATAAGGGTGATGCGTGAGCGAATGGAGGGAGAGGCGGGTGTTGGGAGAGAAGAGAGGTGTGTATGTGTGTATGTGTGTGTGCGTGTGCGCGTGCGTGTGTGCGCGTGCGTGTGTGTGTGTGTGTGGGTGTGTCTACCAACTCACTCACCGAAGACATAAGGAATCCCTTTTACACTCGAATTAAAGTTATTTCTGGATATCAGAATTTCACACACACACACACACATACACACACACATACATACATATATATACATATATATATATATATATATATATATATATATATATATATATATATATATATATATATATTATATTATATATTTAATTTATATAAGTTATTAATAATTTGTTATTTTGATTTTGATTTTGTGAATGGTTTAGTGGGGTAATAGGAATTTTAATCATTATTTTGAGAGAAGCCACACAAGTGAGTCACTATTTCTGAAAGTCTAATCGACGGTCTAAGGCAATAAGGAAGGCAGATCGCCAGGTGTTTGAGTCTAATTCAAGTGTATGGAGGGAGAGGGTTGGGGGGAAGGCCGGCCCTAGGAAAAGGAGGGAAGGGAGGGGGGGGGGAGAAACCTGTTAGGACTTAGAGTTACCTGAGTGGGAGGTGTAGTTGTTACCTGGTTCGACGGGAGAGAACATCTTCTCACTCTTGATCTCCGGCTCATCTTCATTGTAAAGGGGTTCGTGGGTGTAGGCGGAGGCCGTCGTCTCTTCAATAATTTTGTGGAAGTCTGGGTTATTAGAGATCACTACCCCGGTCATGTTGGGCGGCTTCAAGAGTCCCGTGGCCGTCAACACCTTGTCCTTAATCTGCAGCAGCCTTATGCTCTTGCGCATCTCCAGTTGCTCTTCTGGGGTCATGGGCTGCTGCTCCAACATGTATGGTTCTGGGGTTGGATGTTGGTGGTGTCGGTGGGCACTGTGGGCACTGTGGGCACTGTGGGCGCCGCCTTGATGATGGCCACCTTCGTGCTTCATATGTTGGTTTGGTACTTCCTGTGAGAGCTGTAATTCACTAATCCCTGAATGAGAAGTACGAGCTCTGTCTTCGTGAGTCCTGCTATCATGTTTGATTTTGGTGTTATTCTTCTTGCGCTTAGCTTCCGAGAGTGCCTGCAGAAGCACGAGGGCAAGCAGAAGGTAGCGCGTCCACTGCATGCTCGTCGAGTTAGCTCGCCGCGTCTCACTCCCAACACCGCACACCCATAAGACCCGATTCAAGATTGACAAGCGCTTTTATACATAATGTCTGGGGGTTAATCGCTACCACTACGAAGGGCGTGTCTTTGTTGATTCTCGAACCAATTAACTTTTCAAGTGAGTTAACTCCCCTTGCTATTGGCTGTTGGGGAACTTGAAGGAAAGCCCCGGGCCACTCAGAGCCCGTCTTGCCCGATGTGGGCGTGGTCACGTGTGTGGTGTTAGCGTAGGTTGCTACCTGACCACGGAGATATTCGCCTTAAGGTGCTCGCCATGCTTACTCGTTTCAGAGCCTCCTGCCATGCACCAGGAGCGTTCGGACCATCTGTAACAAACCAGGCAGCCGCTCCCCTCGTAACACCAAACAGCCAGCAGGCAAGGAAGAGGCACCCGGTGTTTCATAATGCGTGGCGAGCTACGAGTCTCCTTCCCCCCTTCCCCAATGCCGAACTCAAACTTCGATTTCCAAGCCAATTTCCTCCCCCCTTTGCCGATCCCCGTTCAAGTTCTAATCCCACATGGCAACGGAGCCTACCACGCGGCACCTGCTGGCAACGTCTGGGTCTCCTTCTCCACTTGAGTTCGTAATGAGAGTCGGAGACTTTCGAACTCCTTGTTGTTATCGGTGCCCAAGTCTGGGAGGGATCTGCCCTGGCCGTCGGCCGTCACACAGTACGGTGCTGTGAAGCTGTGGGCAATGTTGTGAAGCTGTGGATATTGTTGTGAAGCTGTGGATATTGTTGTGAACCTGTGGATATTGTTGTGAACCTGTGGATATTGTTGTGAAGTTGTGGATGTTGTAGTGAAGCTGTATGCAATGTTGTGAAGCTGTGGATATTGTTGTAAAGCTGGGGTTATTGTTGTGAAGCTGAGAATATTGTTGGGACGCTGTGGCCAATGTTGTGAAGCTGTGTAGATTGTTGAGAAGCTGTGGGTAATGCGGTTAAACTGAGGTTGTGTGTAGTGTTGTGAAGCTGAAGCTGAAGGCAATGCGGTGAAGCTGAAGGTATGGGTAATGTTGTGAGGATGAAGCTGTGGGTTTATGTTGTGAAGTGTAAGGTGTTGTATAAGTGGCACTGGTAGAGGCTTTTGGTTATGGTTGTTGGAAAAATTGTTGTAGTTGTTGTTGTTTTTGTTATAATTGATGCTGTTGTAGCAGTAATTGTTGTTTTAGTAGTGTTTGAATTATTTGTTATAGTGGAAGTTAAAGGGATTGTTGTGGCAATAGTTGTTGTTGTGGGAGCTGTTGTAGTAGTTGTTGTTGTTGTACCTGTTGTAGTAGTTTTTGTTGTGGCAGTAGTTGTTGTTGTGGCAGTAGTTGTTGTTGTAGTAGTTGTTGTTGTTGCAGCTGTTGTAGTAGTTGTTGTTGTTGCAGCTGTTGTAGTAGTTGTTGTTGTTGCATTTGTTGTAGTAGTTGCTGTTGTTGCAGCTGTTGTAGTAGTTGTTGTAGCAGCTGCTATATTAGTAGTTGTTGTGGCAGCTGTTGTAGTAGTTGTTGTGGCAGCTGTTGTAGTAGTTGTTGTGGCAGCTGTTGTATTAGTAGTTGTTGTGGCAGCTGTTATAGTAGTTGTTGTGGCAGCTGTTGTAGTAGTTGTTGTGGCAGCTGTTGTATTAGTAGTTGTTGTGGCAGCTGTTATAGTAGTTGTTGTGGCAGCTGTTGTATTAGTAGTTGTTGTGGCAGCTGTTGTAGTAGTTGTTGTGGCAGCTGTTGTATTAGTAGTTGTTGTGGCAGCTGTTGTAGTAGTTGTTGTAGCAGCTGCTATATTAGTAGTTGTTGTGGTAGCTGTTGTATTAGTAGTTGTTGTGGCAGCTATTGCAGTAGTTGTTGTGACAGTAGTTGTTGTTGTGGCATTAGTTGTTTTTGTTGTTGTGTCGTAGTAGTAGTAGTAGTTGTAATAGTAGTAGTAGTAGTTGAAGTAGTAGTAGTATCCAGCAGTAGTAGTAGCCAATGGTAATAGTAGTAGTAGCAGGAACCAGTGGTAGTTGTTGAAGCACAAGTACTGTAACGGTGGCACTGACAGTGATATTGGCACTGACACTTCAGTGAGTCACTGAGTCACATTGGCACAGGCAGATAAATTGGCACTGCCAGTCACGTTGGGTCTACCAGTCTAGTTGACACAATAACAGCCAAGTTAGATCTGACAGTAAAGTTGGCATGGACTGTCAAGTTGAAACTGGAAGACAAGTTGCCCCAATCAAGTTGGGATTGATATGTAATTAACGAGTGGGCTCATTAACGCCAATGGCCTCAAGACTAATCACTGAACCCGTCCTCAGAGTAAGAAACCCCACCCTACCTCAAACCCCATTGGATAGTTTTGTAGATATTTGTGATGGTCATAAATCATATTACAGTTCAGTAATAATATTGTAAACTGGCAAGTGAACCATTGACCTGAACAGAGAGTATGCTCAGGTTATAACTCTATTGCATTATAAATCGTTGCCTTAAAATATAAAAAGTATATGGTGAAATCTTTTTCTTTAATGAATTTGGTTTTCTGTAAACGGAATTCTCGGGTATTATCAAATAGTTTTAGAATTATACCTTTCATATTATTGTTAATAGTACTGTACACCGTATTAAAGTAACCAATGTAATGAAGCCCAACATAACGAAACTTTAGCCTAAAGTAACCTTAACCTAAAGTAAACTTAACCTAATCTAACCATAGAGGAGATAATAGCACTAATTATGTGATCGTTCTCAATTCATTCCCTTCAACATATTTCCTCCCTGAAGACAACTAGGTTGAGACATTAGCAGCATTATTGCGAGGTTCAGCTGTACACAATCTTGCTTCATGAGTTACATATAGTAGATCTATATAATAGATGCCAGGTGTGGTGATAGTGGAGGTGGTGCTGGTAGTGGGGTGATAGTGCTGGTAGTGGGGTGGTAGTGGTGCTGATAGAGGGGTGGTAGTGGTGCTGGTAGTGGGGTGGTAGTACTAATGATGAGGTAGTCGTGCTGGTAGTGGGAGTGGTAGTACTGGTAATGGGGTGGTAGTGCTGGTAATGGAGTGGTAGTACTGGTAATGCGGTGGTAGTGCTGGTAGTAAGGTGGAAATGCTGGTTGTGGGTTGATAGTTATGGTAGTGGGGTGGTAGTGCTGGTAGTGGGGTGGTAGTGAGGTGGTAGTGCTGGTAGTGGGGTGGTAGTGTGGTGGTGGTGCTGGTAGTAGGGTTGTTGTGGTGGTGGTGCTGGTAGTGGGGTGGTAGTGTTGGTAGTGAGGTGGTAGTGCTGGTAGTGGTGGTAGTGGTGTGGTAGTGGGGTGGTAGTGCTGGTAGTGGGGTGTTGGTGCTGGTAGTGGTCGATGGTGGTGCTGGTAGTGGTGGTGGTAGTGCTGGTAGTGCTGGTAGTGGTGGTGGTAGTGGTGGTAGTGGGGTGGTAGTGCTGGTAGTGGGGTGGTAGTGCTGGTAGTGGGGTGGTAGTGCTGGTAGTGGTCGTGGTAATGCTGGTAGTGAGGTGGTAGTGCTGGTAGTGGTCGTGGTAGTGCTGGTAGTGGTCGTGGTAGTGCTGGTAGTGGTGGTAGTGCTGGTAGTGGTAGTGAGGTGGTAGTGCTGGTAGTGAGGTGGTAGTGGGGTGATAGTGCTGGTAGTGGGGTGGTAGTGCTGGTAGTGGGTGATAGTCCTGGTAGTGAGGTGGTAATGCTGGTAGTGGGGTTGTAATGTTGGTAATGGGGTGGTAGTGGAGTGGTAGTGCTGGTAGTGGGTGATACTGCTGGTAGTGGGGTGATAGTGTTGATAATGGGGTTGTAGTACTGGTAGTGGGGTGGTGGTGCTGGTAGTGGGTGATAGAGCTGATAGTGGGGTGGTAGTGCTGGTAGTGGGGTGGTAGTGCTGGTAGTGGGGTGGTAGTGCTGGTAGTGGGGTGGTAGTGCTGGTAGTCGGGTTGTAGTGCTGGTAGTAGGGTAGTAGTGTTGGTAGTGCTGGTAGTGAGGTGGTGGTGCTGGTAGTAGTCGTTGTAGTGCTGGTAGTGAGGTGGTGGTGCTGGTAGTGGTCGTGGTAGTGCTGGTAGTGGGGGGGGTGGTGCTGGTAGTGGTCGTGTTGGTGCTGGTAGTGGGGTGGTAGTGCTGGTAGTGGGGTGGTAGTGCTGGTAGTGGGGTGGTAGTGCTGGTAGTGGGGTGGTGGTGCTGGTAGTGAGGTGGTAGTGCTGGTAGTGCTGGTAGTTGGGTGGTAGTTCTGGTAGTGGGGTGGTAGTGCTGGTAATGGGATAGATAGCTACCAGTGATAGCGGGTAGTGCTAAAGAGAGGAATCCAAAGATGGTTGGGAGAAGGAGAGGAATGCAAAGATGAGTGAGAGAACTACTCTTCACAATAAGGGAGGAACGCAGAAGGTAGGCCCAGAGTGATGTAGGAAGCCTACACCCGCCGGAGAAGAGGTGTGAGTTACACCGTAAAGGTACACCTCACTACTAAAAGGAAGAGCGTGTTGGAGAGTGAGGGAAGGTGGCGGAGGGAGGGACGGGGCGGGGCGGGGCTTGTGGTGGGAGGAGTCATGGGTGGGTAGGTGGGAGGAGCTTGTTGGCGCCAGATGGGTGTAGTGGTCCCTGGCCTTCAGTGTGGTGAGGACCCTTCGCGCTCTCGGTGTTGTTGCACTGCTCGGCACGCTATCCTCTGTGACTATAATACACCTTTCACCACACTTCAGACCAGTAGTGGTTACACCCTCTGCTTTCACCACACTTCAGACCAGTAGTGGTTACACCCTCTGCTTTCACCACACTTCAGACCAGTAGTGGTTACACCCTCTGCTTTCACCACACTTCAGACCAGCAGTGGCTACACCTTTTCATTTCACCACACTTCAGACCAGCAGTGGCTACACCCTCTCTTTTCACTACACTTCAGACCAGCAGTGGCTACACTCTCTCTTTTCACTACACTCCAGACCTGCAGTGGCTACACCCTCTCCTTTCACCGCACTTCAGACCTGCAGTGGCTACACCCTCTCCTTTCACCACACTTCAGACCAACAGTGGCTACACCCTCTCCTTTCACCACACTTC